GCGTCCCCCCGGCCGCTTCCTGCGGCTGCTGCTGCTGCTGCCGCCGCCTGTGTAGTCACGTGTGTGCTAGAGGACGGAGCTGGCATGTGCGAGCACACAGGACCTCAATCAGAATCACAGGTGACCCAGGGTCCTGCTGAGCCCCCTGGGTTTGACAGAGAACATTATTATCAGTTTCCCTCCACCATAAAATCGACCAAAGGTTGAAGGAGTGCAGTGGCCAGGAGGAAATGACCTTGAAACTTCCACCATATTTAGGTCAAATTTTATGACCTTCTCTTTTCAACTCAACACCTTTCTTCTTCTGTTAGACTTTTCACTCCTCTTCCTCTTCCTCACACACACATCCTTCTCTAATTCTACCACAGTAACAGGGAACATAAAATGTGATAGTGATACTGATCAACTGAGCTACAAAGCGTCCACACGGGCACATACACACGACAAGCACCACATAGATCTGTATCCATTTCCTGGAAATTCACAGAAACCTTATCTACACACACAACTCACGCTGGCATTAAAAATAGTCAAGTGTACTTCCTAAAAATGGAAAAGCTTCTTCCTGATATTTCACTTCTTGCTCACTGTTTACGTCCACAGTCTCCCTCCCTGTCCTGACTGGAGTGACATAAACACTGGGGTCAAATCTGCTTCATGCAGAAAGTTCACTGTTAAATTACCATTGTTTTATTTGGATGTCAAGCTGTTGGCAAGTGGCAGCATGGACTCCAACACAGAGAGTGGACACACATGGCAGTGAACTCCAAACAAGTTAGGAAGTGTAATATTTAGGGGTGACTGTGGCGATGAGATCCCAGGTGAGTAATACACAAAAAATACCAGGCGGTGGGAAAAGGTCCAGAGGCCTAAGAGCAAAGAAACACAGGGAAGAATGACTTTGATGAAGGGACAAACAAATGTTTGATGTTAAAACCAACATTTCACCAACTGAGCTGTGCTAACACTGAAGCTGAAATCCTCCTTCCTGCGTATCGAAGACAACGCCCACAGGTGCTTTGGCTCAACAGCTCTGGAATTCATAAAAACAAAAACGGTTTTTCTCTAACCCTAACACACTAACTTTGATGAAACAGAAATAGTTACACCTGCACTCTTTTATTTTTTTCAAAGCATTTCAGTTCTGAAGCCCTTTCATTAGAAATGTGACATTTTTTCAAGACCCTAAAAATAAGTCCTGCCGCCTGCCCGTGTTGCTTTTAAATTGACTTTCGATAGATCTGTGAAATTTATCAGACAGTACGTGCAGGAGAAGTAAGAGCAGCGGCCGCCAGGTCAAGCACTTAAATATTAAATGTACAAAACAACGTGAACTTTTCTTGATAAAAGAACGGAGCTTCATCTAATAGCTGAAGGACAAAATAAGTAAAGAGCAGTGAGACCTGACCTCCACTGACCCTAGGAAAATATGAACTGATCAAAAGTGCAGCGGACCATAACAGAAACTAATAAGAGAACAGCAGCGGCAGCAGCAACGTGACACATTAGTAAACCAGCCATATGCTACACACAGAACACCGTAAATACTGACAACTGAACCGATTCTCTGAAAAACTGCAAACCATTACTGAATAAACCATGAAGTCAATTCTGCAGTGAAGTCTTTTACTTGTCAACACTGTCTTCCATTTCATGTCTGTTGTACAACAAGAATGGACAAAGGTTTTTCTTGATATCCTACAAAGCAAAGAGAACAAAGAGCAGTATGTGGCCCGGGAGCCACAGGTTGTGGACAAAGAGAATCATAAAGACTTTTGTGTTCTACTGATCAGATAATCAGAAAACACTGAGGTATTTACCTACTGTACATACACAAAAATACATTGACAATACAAGAAAAACTCAATAAAACACAGCCGAGTGTTCTGATTTATTATAAGGAACTTCACAGCTCCCAGTAGATGCACTCTGAGTTAGTGAGGCCCAAACCCTGAGAGCTTCACTGAGCACCTGAGGAGACTGTGTGCTCTGCATACATTGATGAAATGAGCATCAGTGACCTTCCACTCTTCTTCTTCTCTTCCCTGAGGTGTTTCCTAGCCTTTAACCTGAACACACCTCCTTTGATTCCTTCCTCTGCTCTCTTCTCCCTGGAGGACAACTCTTCTTTCTCCCCACACAGAGGAGTAACTGGGGTGGAGGAACACAGAGAGGTGACAGTGGAGAGGTGTTCCTCCACCCTCACACCCCCCCCCCCCCCCCCCTGTTATCATCCTTCTTTAAAATCATACAATTGTATAACTGTTACAATTAATGAGGCGTGATTATAATTGTTTGATCAAGTACAGTATATTTCAACAACAAATTGACATTACAATACTGAAAACAACTAAATAATAAGTGGCCCCAGTGGTTCCCAAAATGGGGGGCGGCTGCATATCAGGGACGAAGCAAGTCATGTGGACTACAATCTCAACTTTTCTTTTTTCTTCCCCCAGTGGTAGAAAAGTCAAGAAGGAATTAGAGTACTACTTCCAACAAATATTGAGTTCCTTTCTCATGCAGAGGTCGACCTAAACATCACAATGATGTCACTGTGTCTAAACCTTCTCCACAGTCACCAGATCCTGATCCAATAAAAACCTCGGAGAGGCTGTGGAACAGGAGATTCACACAATGGATTTGCAGCCCACAAATCTGCCGTGACCAAAAGGATGCTGAAATATTTCAAGCATCACGTCGAACGTGTGTGAGGAATAACGATGTCAGTTCTGAAAAGAGAACGTCATTCAACCTGGTACGAACACGGTGTACTTAATAAAGTGAACAAAAAAAAAAAAAAAATAGAAAAGAAAGAAAACAGTTGTAGAAATGAAAATGTGTGGCTTTGATGATGGATCTTTGCTGCTTCAAAAA